AACATTTTTAAAATAATTGTCAAGGAGTGTAGTATACTTATTTCGAAGTTTTGTTTGACACTGACTCTATGTGAACGTTAAAACAAGGTTTATAGCTTCTTATACAAAGATGTTTCGACCGTTTGTCCATTTAGGAGTGTAGTGAATGAAATAAATATTGGAACATGTAGTTTAACTTAGAAATTACAAATGTGCTGCTGGCCATTTAGTGTATCCTTTAGGCTGAGAAGAATTATATTAAATAATAGCTAATTTAAGATTGTTTTTGTTGAAAGTTTAATTTTAACTGCATGATTTATATAGGCATCATCGTTTCTGTTCGTGAGTTTTAAAACATTTGTTAAAATTTTGTCAAGGAGTGTGAAAATTTCTTGGTGTTGTGGAAATTAAATTTGGTAATTGTACTACCCAAATACTTCTTTCTCCAATATTGCTTGGTTATCAGTATTTGATTCAATAGTTTTGAGTGAAATTGAAGGCAAACCCTAACCAAAAGAGCATCTTATATTAATAATTTCACTATGAACTGTACAGAATGTAAAAAAAAAATTAAATTGGCAGAGAAGGGAAATACTTTTACTGATTTCATAGTTTCTTTGTGTTTTTAAAATTTGAACTTTTAACTTGGAAATGCAGCTCATTTATGAGTGCAGTTTTTACACAAAAAAATTAATGTTTATATCACATGCACAAAATGGTTAAAAATATCTTTACAAGGTGTGAAATTCCCTTCCTCTTTATTAGCACAAAAGTTTTAATTTTTTACCATATTCATGTTAGTATAGGTAATCATACGGTTTGGAGTTCAATTTGGAATAATTTGCACGAGTGAGTTTTTCAAAAAGCTGAAATTGCACAAGCCGCTTCGGAGAGTGCAATTTTAGCTTTTTGACAAACTCACGACTGTCAATTAATTCCAAATTGAATGAGAAAAACCATATGATTACTTATTAATAACATAAACATGAAAAAATTCGTGTGAAGGAAGTGCCGGTAGATCTTTCTTGAAGACATTTTTTCTCATTCGAGAAAACTGTTTTCAAAGTTTCCGGACGAAATATTCGTCATCATTTTATGTGATATCATCGGCTTAGAAAATCTCCTACTTCCTTTCAGCCAATCACAATCCAGAATTACAATGTGTAATTTGCACTGATGTTACACTTTTTGCACTGGTGTTACACTTGAACTCCACTGCTCTCAGCCAATCAGAATTGAGTAATTTTTTCATGTATATTATTATACAGGTTACATTTATCTTT